CTATTTTTTTTTCAGTTGTAAAGATGTGGGGTACAAGTGAGGATTAGGTTCCTAAGTAGTTTATGTGCAGGTGAAGTTTGGTCCCCAACCAATCCTCACTTCCTTGTTTAGGGTCAGGTACCCTTAGTGATGCTATGGGAAGAGATACTGCAAAACACACAGCTGACAAAAAGACTTATATCTCAGGTATGCAAAGAACTTTCAAATGCAACAATAACTCAGTGAAAAACTGGGTAAGACATAGATACTTTACCAAAGGTGATATTCAAACAGCAAGTGAATATGAGTCTTTAGAGATAAACAAAGTAAAACCACTACATACCTACTAGAATAACTAAAATAGAAAATTGATAATAACAAGTACTGGGGAGGGGGCAAAACAAAAGGAGCTTTCATACACTGCTGGTGGAAACACAAAACAGTACAGCACTTTGAGAAAGTTTGGCTGTTTCTTAATGAAGTTCAACTTAAACTTAATACATAGCCCAGCAATTGGCAAATGAAATAAATGCCTATGTTTACACACACACACACACACACACACACACACACACACACACACACGCACGCACAATGTGAACATTAATAGCAGCTTTATTCCTAAATTCCGAAAACTTGTAACAAGCCAAATATCCTTCAAAGGGTAAATGAATAAACAAACTAGGATACATTTACACATGGAATACTACTTCAATTTTAAAAAGCAGCCTGCTGGTAAATACAACAAAGTGGAGGAATCTCAAATGCATGATGCTAAGTGAAAGAAGTCAGACTAAAAAAGCAATACAGACTACATTCCATTTATATCTCATTCTGGAAAAGGCAAAATCAGAGGCCAAGGGGGGTGAGGAGCTGACCACACAGGAGAAATGAGGGGAAGTGTTGGAGGTTAGTAGAATGCTCTGTTGCTTCACTGTGATGCTGGTTACACAGCTCTATGGATTTGTCAAAGCTCAGAAGTATAGACCAAGAAAGAATAAATTTGACTGAATATAAATAAGTTTAAATAAACATAAGCAAATAAATATTGACAGTGATACACTATAGCCCACTGATCAATATAAAAACTCATATATAGATATAAAATTAGAGAGAAGAAAGCTCATCATTATGGGAGACGCCAACTAATAAATGTAGAAGGTATGATGGATGGGGTCAGAAAATCCATTTTGGAATCTCTGCAGTAATAGCTGACTCAGGCAAGACTTATCAATAGATGCTACGATTAGTAGATGAAAGTTTAATGAGATACAGGATATTTACATAGTCCCAAAGGTTCCTCCCCAAATTATGCCTTTTTTTTTTTGAGTTGGAGTCTCACTGTCGTCCAGACTGGAGTGCAGTGGCCGCTCCCAGCCACCGCAGCCTCGACCTGC